ATAAATTCAAATGCTTAATATGTATGGATATCATTATAAATACTGGAATAAGAATAAAATACAGATAATATTATGAATTTGAAATAAAATATAGAGCATCACTAATTAGAAATAAAATGTAACAGCATGAATTAGCACAAATTAAGAATAAAAAAATTATATTTACTAATTTAAATCAAAGAATATATTGAAGTTCAAAATATTATTTAGTCTTTTAACAAAAATAATTAAAATATATAAAAAAAAATAATATAAATAAAAAATAAAAACTTTAAAATAAAGATAAAAAAAATCATAGTAATAGGACAGATTTTTTATTTTTAATCTATTTTTTACATAATCATTAATTCAATTTTATTAAAAAATTTAATGCATAAGAAATAAATTATTATTAACAAATAGAATATTTAGACTTATAAGATTTTAAAATTTATTATTGTGTTTGAATAATAATAAATTCTTGAAATTGAATATACTTGGATATTTTAATTAACAAAGCTTACAAAAGACATATTATTTCTTTGGTTCATATTATCATATATAACAATCTAATAGTACACTGCATTTAATACTTCACTAAAAGGTATTCTTTAGCTTTATAAAAAAATTTCTTAAAATAATTCAGAAAATTGGTTTAGTTTCAAATATTTTAAAGAATGTTTATACATTTTTTATATGATAATTTTGCTTAAAATTTTTTATTTTTTACATCCTGTACAAAAATTATAATGAAAACAGTAAAATATTAAACATCTTTTAAAATGTTCAGAATGGTAGTATAAAATTATTAATGTATAAATCTAAAAATTACAAATAATAAAAATAGGTTTATAAGATTAACCCTTACTTTTTGTACTGAACATTTTAAAAAAAATATTTTTTATTAAATTAATATATAACAATAAAGCTTAAATTAATAAAATTGTATTTTTAAATATTGCAAAATGCAATGTAAATTATTGATTCAAAATCAACTAATCAGATGAAGAACATAACATTATTAACTACATTAAGACATATAATAAGTGGCACTGAGTTATAGTATTCAATCAGAATTTAAATTTACTAGTGACTAATAGAAAAGGTAGATGAAAATTAGGAAATGCATATTGACATTGCTCTGAATTTGGTAAATATTATATAATATAACTGAAGTCAATTTAAAGGCAACTTTAAACAGCTCAACTCTAACTAACTTGAAAACTAACTAAATTGAGCTGTCTAAAATCCTTACTATTATGCTTCAAACAATAATGAACAAACAGAAGATAACAGGTAACACATAAATTTTTCTAAGATGATGTGCTAAGTAACTCTTATAAAAAATAAATTTCTTTATATTAAGAAAATTCTGAGCTGCTAGCCAAAAAAATATGAGTTGTAGTATATCAAAGATTCTCTATATATCTAATATTAACAATCATGTTTTATAAATAAAAATTTATTCTGAAAATTTTTACTTAGAGATCAGAAGTTAGTCATCATAATAAATTTTGTATTATTTATATTTTTTTATAATTTCTGTTTTTTGTATTTGTTTTGTTACACAAGACTTTGTGATTTTATTGGATCAGAAGTGATCTTTAATGATTTTTAGCCTAGGATTTTCTTGATATATTTGTAAACATGATCAAGTAACTATCTTTAATGTTCTAAAAAAAGTTTTTGCTTGACAAACTTACTATATAAACTACTCTCTTCTAATTCCTAAACTTGACCTTAACTCTAATATAAACAAGCTTTAAAGAATTTTTACAAAATTCTTTGCTATTATGATCTGTAATTCAGTAAGTCTGTCATTAAACTAATTCAACTCTTGCATAACTTATAGTAGCTAAGTTAAAATAGATGTGTTAGATTTAACTAGTAGTTTCTCTGTAGATAGGTACTTGTTTTTTTTTCTAAATCTTTTTTTTAACCTCTTCTTGTACTAATCTAGTTTTCTTTTTGCATTTATCTCAATTCGAGATTACTCTATATCAAATCAGAGTTAGAACTCTTCTATTATATTATTAGTCTTATCATGTGACTTATAATGAACAATCAATAATAAAAGCATAGCAGGCTTTTATTTTAATTAGTCAGTCTCTAAATGTTTCATCACATATTACACTACATATATTATCTAACTTTAAATAAATTAGCAATTATGAAAACAAATTATTCAAAGATATAACATATAAATTCTGAAACTACACCTTTTATTCTATTTATAGTAAAAATAATTCGAAGAATGGAGAAATAATTCAAAAGTTAATGACAAGATGCACTCTTTGTTTTATAAGTTAAGGTAATTTAGCAATTAACAAAATAATTCATATTTTGGCTAATAAGTATTAGTATTAAGTTTTTTTTTTAAAAAAACTTAAAAATAGCAATTTAAACAACAATACTTACAGTTAGTTTTTAATATTTTTTTTTGAATATAGATAACTTAACTAAGTTTTTATATATTAAATATAAATTATATAGAATATGCTAAGTATATAAAATATGCAAAAAATATGTATAATTATATGCTAAGTTCTATAGTTAATGTTTAGTTTTTTTATACTGTTCATACTTTCAATGTACATGTATTATCTTAGATAATTGATAGGTTTTTTAATTTATTTATTATTAAACTATGTATAGTTAGTAAGTGATTTGGTTAATAAAGATTATTTATATATTTAAAAAATTATTAGTTTAAAGATATTGTTTTTTTTATTAAGTTAACCAGATACACATTTGACAATGGCTGTCAGAGTCAATATATTAAAATTGTTATTATAAATTCGAATTTACAGTTTAAATCTATCTTTTTGTTTAATAATTTCTAAAATTTTTTCGTTTCTATTAGCCAATCAGAATTTGCAACGTCATCGAATGATCTACAAAAACTAGCCAATAAGAATGAAAGCCTGCTATGCTAATGGCGAGTTAGTGGTTTATAAATGAACGAACGATATGGACAACGGTAGGGTTAACGATGGTTTATTAGTTTATTCTAGAACTTATATTTTATTATGGATCGGATATTTATTGGTACTGGAGGATTTATTTGTATATGGGACTGTTGTCTTCCCCTTAGGCAGTAATGCCCTTTATTTATAATAAACGTCTTATTTAATAAAAGGCCGATATGCCATTTAACGAATATGTGGCCGAAATGGCAGAAGCGGCATAAGTAACATAAGTAACATTTCTGTTACTTTTCGCGTGACCTTGGATCGGGTAAGGATCGTCACTTCGATTCGGGCACCCGTGACCCCCAAAAATCGGGTTCACACTATAAAGACTAAAATTCGTATTTAAGTTAGAATTAACAAGATGTTGAAATTTTTTTTATTGGGTACATTTTTGACAATATAAACTTTGACAAAACGAACGTTTGGTTTGAATTTTCTGTTCATGCATGTTATATATAATCCTAAATATTTATTGTCCTTCGGGGATCTGCGCCACCATACATCACTAGGGATGTTACCATACGTCCCGGTCCGGTCTTGGTCCTAAAGACTGGTCCTAGCAGAGTATCGTGGACTGGACCGTGGTCCGGGACCGGTCAATAAACCGATCCATAGCACGGTCTATTGCCTAGTTTTCAAAGTAGGCTATGTGTTTTTAATGTCCACTATGTATAGAAAAAGACAAATTTAATCGATGTTAGCATAAAACATTAAAAACTTGTTACAAATTTTATACCGATATCGGTTGTAACATCATCATTTGGCATAAATTTGGCATTTTCATTTTTATATTTAACAATTATCTAAAATTCAGTATCGCTCATTTCAGATTTTTGACTTACAGCTATCATCGTGAATCCTGGGTAAGGATGTTAAAATTATCATGCCAAAAAAAATCGAACAAGTCTTGGATCATAACGATAATACACGTGTGCATATAAGTCATGCATTCACAGATCACAGTTTAGATCACCGGAAAAATTGCCAATGACCGAATCCGAAACAAATCAATGATTTAATGAATTAGAACTTATAGATTTGGTCATCGGAAAAATTTTTCTTTTTTTTTAGTCAGTGAGATCATTCTATAAAGCTATGGAATACCGGTTGGACTGGTGCAAAAGACCGGTCTAGATCACGGTCTTTGCGAGACCGTAACATCTATGTATTTGCTAAATGCAATACCGATACTCACGTCTCCTGTTCCTGGTTTCGCGTGACTGTGACGCGCAGCTATCTTATTTTTATAAATGATATGAAAATGACAAATAAATGAAAATAATAATTTATAATACTTTTATATGTAATTATTTATTTATTAGAAACAATATCGACTATTCTGTTGTTATAACTAGTGAATATGTTATATAGATTGATTATATAAAAAATTATTTGATAGTTAAATAGAAGATATTTTAAATATTGTAAAAGATGAATTTCGAATGACTGAGTCTTATGGCTAAAATACAATCAAAAATTTAGACTATTCTAGGGATGGATTAGTTCAGCTGTTCTCCCAGTCTCTAATGAAACCAGTCCATTAACGTTTTCATACCATTTCAGTCTGGTCTTAGTTCCAAAAATGGTCCTAAGCTTTAATTTCTTATTGGCTAGCGAAGACTAAATCATATGACATCAGTAATCGAAACAAGCGATTATCCAAATACAATTATAATTAGCTAATTTAACTATTTGCGAAGACTATCTCGGGTCCGGGACCAGATAACTACGAGACTAGTTAAAAAGACCAGTTCTTATTCAAGACTGATCCATCCTTAGGCTATTCGAAAGATGTAAAGATTTGGTCTTAGAATCAAGAACCCTGTACCACTAGGATCCAAATATTAAACATTCATTAAATTTAATATTATTAATAAACTTTTTAATTTATTTTATAAAATACGATGTATCAAAAGTAATGATATGGCCTATATTTTGCTTTGAATTTGTGCTATAAATTTACATTAATGTAAATTAAGAAATTGCTGTTTTTTATATAGTATTATAAATTTAGAATTTGTAAAATAAAGTGCAATTATTATACAATTATTAAAAATCAAAGAAAATATAAACTGTACCATTATAATTAGGGATCATATTTAAAAAATTCAATTGTTGAAAAATTTCGGACATTGAGGGTCGCTTATTTGGTTCATAATCCCAACATTTCGAATAAATATTATTGTATAGTACAGGTGTTCCTGGGATTGGTTCTTCACGTAAGCCTTGAATAATTTTTAATGGAAGAGATGCATCATAACCTTGATTGCCAAAAGGAACACGTCCATTACTGGAAATCTCCCACATCAATACGCCCATACTATATACATCAGACTTTTTATCATACCGATACTTTGAATCACTAAGTTTACAAGGATCAATAAAAGGGATTAGTCCGTAAAATTTACTATTCGTTGCCGTTGCAGTATTAAGATTTTTTGAAAATCCAAAATCTGAAATTTTAACTTCGTTCTTATGAATAAGAATGTTTGCAGTATGCTAAATTAAAGACAATATTATTTATAAAAAACTTGAAAATTATTAATATTTATAACAAGATTATATGCTTTACCAAATCACGATGCGTAATATCTATATCATGAAGATAAGACATTCCTTCAGCTATTTGCCTTGTCAATTGAATTTTTTCGAGCCATTCTAATTTGTTTTTTCGTAGATATTCTCGTAAAGTACCATTATCAGCATATTCCATTACAAGATATGGTATTTTTTCTTTTTTGTCTTATAGTAAAATTTTTGAAACAATATTTAGTCAATTTTCTGATAATGTATAAATTATAAGTAACTTACTAAAACTAATTCCATAAAATTTAATAATTCGCATGTGGCTAGATCTACTGAGTTGTTTTAACTAAAAAAAATATCATTATGTTTTAGAAAACTGATAAATAACAAATTTTATACAAATACTTGATAATATACCTCATTAATAAACAGTTTTTGAGCCTTTTCATCTGTATCTGATTCTACTTCTTTAATGGCTACATAACCTAATGAACTAGATTTTGCTAAATATACTGCTCCAAAACCTCCACGTCCTAATCTTTTCTTCCTCTTCAAACCATCATAAGGTATTTCATTCAATTTATATTCTTTAATAATACTTTGAAACCACTTATTTGCTCTAATTAGAAATAGTTAAAGTTCTATTACGTATTCCTATCTAATACATTCATTAGTTAAAACTATATTTTAATAAATAATACCTTGTAATATATATACAAATAATATAATAATTACTAGTAATATATTAACATGCATATATAGTAATTAAGTTATTATTTGTACTATATACTGTATTATAAGGTATTATTTAGTTAAAATATAACTTTTTTGACCAGTAATTGAATTTAAAATTGACATAAATAGACCTTGTACTCACTCTCTTTTAAATTAAATAATTATTTAATGATAAATGTTTTATTTAAAATATGTAAATGAACTTTATGCCTACCCTCTTTTGAATTAAATCATTAGTCAATAATAGATTCACCATTTAAACTCATCCAAATTATTATTTAAGAATTTCCTATTTAACTATAAATAAAATATACTCACGCCCTTTAGGAATAATAATTATTTTTTAAATGACAAATGTTTGTTAAAAATGATCAGGAAAAGTGAACTTTATGCTCACCCACTTTTTAATAATTTCAAATATATGGTTATTTTTTTTATTTAAAAAAAAATGAAAATTGGATTAAACTTAGCATAGCCACATTAGGCTGTTATCGGCTTTGATGGCTTGGCTTAATCTGAGCCATAGCTTAAATAGTGGTTCTAGTAGCCATGGTTCAAGCTGTAGTTATAATAGTTGGAGACGCGTATTAATCACGTAAAAATTAAATGTCGTGGCTTGAACCAAGCTGCGTGACTAAATCTAAGCTAAACCACAGTTCAAGCTGCCACTCTAAGCTATAACTGTATTACGATGCAAGCTACAGCTCAATTGGCTTATGCCGGCTCAGCACCATTATGCAGCTAGAGCCGCTCTCAAATAGCTGTTAACAGCCCTAGGCCACATCGCTTAAATGTCATATGATTAAAGCATTGAGAAAATCTAGTGATATTATTCGTCTTGAAACTAAATGAATGGTACAAAAAACTTCAATCCGATTGTAAGCTCTTATTATAAATGATATCAAAAGAGGTATTATGGCGAATCAATAATACTACCGCATTGATCAAATATATATACTTTCAATTCGGATCACAAATATTCGATATATATTACATCTTTTTTTTTTTGTTATATTTCAGGTGACCAAGTGATCAATCAAATCTCTATTCTTCTCATAAAGAATGAATGAATTATGTATAACATTCCCCTTTGTCCTTATATATTATGCAGTATCACAAGCGAACCATTATTATGTGTTACATTCATAAGCAGACCTCCATGCATTATGTATGTCGTCTCTAAATACATGCCAAGATTATAGAACTTTTAAAATGTTCTCTATAAATGCACACTTTAAATGCTTATGGATTAAACGATTTGCAGTACCAGGTAACATTCAACCTACATGACATTTAGACGATGCGGGTTATTGCTATATTGAACGAAATGAACCTTACTTACTCCCTTATAAATTAGCACAAAGAATAACAATTATTTAATGATATATTTTCTATTAATATATTCATAATAATTTTCTATTTAATAATAGAAATGACACATACTCGCTAAATTTAACAGAATAATAAAGCATTGTTAAAGCAGTGTCATTTATGTCAAACATGATCGATTTAAACAAAATTTATTCTTACTCCCTGGTTATTTATCAATTGTATAAGAAATTTTTATATCGTATTTGTTAGAATTCAAATGACAAATAGTATATAAATAATTTCTGTACTTACGAACTGTTAATTCTTTTGCATATTAATAAACCAAAAATTATATTTAATGAAAATTTCAATAAGAATTTTATAAATAACGTAGTTCTATACTTACTCCCTAGTAATTTAGCATATGTATGAATTAATATTTAATGACGAGTTCCTATAATACAGTCAACTCTCCGAGTACAGCCTTTCTAAGTGCAACTTCTCTTAAGTTCTGGCCCAAGTATATGTATGACCTTTATAACTACATTTTTTCTTAATTGTTCTCTGGTCTCAACGAATTGTACTTAGAGAAGTGACTGTAATAAAATTTAATAATTGAACTCTATCCTTACTCTCTAGTGGTTCAATAAATAAAAGAGCAAGAAATAGTATTTATTGGAATTCCATTGATGATAAATTGGCAAATTTATATAAATAATTTCTATACTTACTGTCTTGTTTAACGCAAGTAAAATAATATTTATGCATGATTTATATTAACTATAAAATGTATATATTATAAATAAATTATATACTTACTCACTGATAGTTTAAGTGAAAGAACAGAAAAGTAAGATTAAATAAGGAATTCTATTAATTATAGAATATGTACATTATTTATATACTTGCTCTCTGATAATTTTAAGTGAAAGACCATGAAAGTAATATTCAATATAGAATTCTATTAACAATAAACTGTACAAATTATTTTATAAAAAACTATACTCACGGACTGGTAATTGAAATGAAAGAACAGAAATATTTAATATTTATCAAAGAATTATATTGACGATAAAATGTGTACATTATTTTTAGGGATCTGCAAGTCGGGCAGGTGCCCATGCCTAACAAAAAGTATAGGAAGGACAGGCAAAATTTTAGGGTATAGTTACAGTGCAAGACAACACAAGACATCCTATATGTAATTTTTTTTAAAATAAAAATCCTCTTTCAAATTTATTGTTTTTTATTTAAATAACAAATCTGAAAAAGGGATTTTCAAAATTTTTGATTTTAAAAAGTTATTAAAATTTAAAATACAGTCA